AACGTCCCAACAATCTTCTGGCCGGATTTGGCCTCATGCCACTACTCCAAGGACGTGCTGAAGTGGTATGCGGACAATAAGGTCAATTTCGTGCCGAAAATGTTCAACCCTGCCAACACTCCGGAGCTCCACCCCATCGAGAAGTACTGGGCGATTATGAAGCAGCACCTTCTTAAACGACCTAAGGTAGTGAAGACAGTCGAGGAACTGAAGAAAGTATGGGTTTACATGCAAAAAACGGTTGATTCACAGGTTGTGCAGAATCTTATGGCCGGGGTTAAGGCCAAGGTGCGGGCATTTGCGTATGGACTGTAAATAAAATACGAGTAAAATGGTAAAATAAAGTTTAATAGTTATTTCTCAATCCCTGAAAATTTGATGGCAATCGGATGAAAACTCGAATTTTGCGAATCAATTTTGTGTGTGGCAATTTCATCGTGGACACCCTTTATGTGCATGTTTTATTTCTACTGTTTTGTTGTTGATTTTGATAACTATATCATCTGGAATATTGTTGTTCATGAAAACTAATGTTGCCGACTTATCTGGGTTGATTTGCATTCCTACATCTTCTAAATTTGAACAAATTGTGTTGAGCGTTCTGTTCATTTTGTTATTAGTATCTATTACATCTATACCTTCAATGACAACAGCAAAATCATCTGCGAATTGAATGAGTGTTCCTTCTTCTATTGTTTCATGTAATTTAGTTGTGTAGATATTAAACAAAATAGGTGATATCGGGCAGCCCTGAGGTAGTCCCTTATTTGTAATCCTTTCTATTGTAGTGCCATTATTTAATGTTAATACTGCTATTCTTTTTTTTAAATAGAAATATATCCAATCTATTAAATGTTCCGGAATTTTTTTTTTCTTTTAAAATTCCCAGTAATATAGAAATATTGACGTTATCAAACGCCTTCGATAGGTCCAAAAAAGTGACCATGATACATTGTTTCCTGTTTTTAGCGCCCTCTATTTTAGAAACTAAGTAATTAACACAATTTATTGAGGATGTTTTGCTTTTAAAACCAAAGGAGTATTTCGGTATAGTATTATTGGTTTGTATGAAATGGACTATTTTTGATTTAATTTTAAAATTGATTATTTTTAAGAATGTAGGTATTAATCAAATAGGTCTATATGATGTGTGGCAAATTTCATTTTTCCCTGGTTTAAGAATTGCAACTACTTTTACTGTTAACCAGCTGACTGGGATGTTACGGCTATTTAAAACTTCATTACACATGTTGACTATTACATTAAGAAGATGAATGTTTGTATTTTTTTAAATATGATATGAAATGTTATCAGGACCTGGAGCAGAACTGTCTTTTTTAGTTTTTAGAGTGTTGATAATGTCATTTATAGATAGTTTAAGTTGATTTGAATTATTATTTACATTGTATTCTATATCATTAGATATTGTGGGAAAGTTTAGATTCATGAATTTGTTAGCTAGTTCTCTGTTATTCAATAGTTGTAGATTATTTTTTTGAGGAAACCCTCCACTTATTACTTTTACTGTTTGCCATAATTGTTTTATGTTTAAATCCGGTGTAAGGGTATCTGTGAGATCTTGAAAGTTTTTTCGCTTAGATTTTTTAATTTCAGTTTTTAATTTGGCTCCAAGGGGGAAGACATTGTAATATATATTTCATATATTTAGAAGATTAGACGGATTTAAAAATATTAGCGATATTTCGCTATATATTTCCCCGCTGTCAAGAGACTGATGAGTTTTTAATTCAGTGTTTGTTTCTTGTCATCGCAGGAAAAAAAAATCGAAAAACGGGTTCTTGCATTGCTAATTGCAACTGAAACTGGACTGATAAAAGTGCACATTTCCGTCGAACAGTTTTGGTATCTTTGGTGCACTTATTGCTTGCTTAACGTTCCTTGAGCATGGCCTCATCCGGATACCCTGAACCAGTTTCGGTAGGGCTCAAAAACGACATTTCCTAAATATCATGTACTGGTATTGTCTGACGACTCAAAATTGATCATTTTTCATCCAGAAGAACACACACATCTGGATACCCAGAACCGGTTCCGGGAGAGCCAAAAAGGAAACTTCCAAATCCTCATGTACTGGTACCGTCCGACGGCTAAAATTTAATGATATTTCATCTTGAAGTAATTAGACATCATGCCATCGGTCAACATATAGATCTGTCCACTTCTAGATACCCAGGACTGGTTCCAACAGGGATTCAAAAAGGACACTTCCAAATCCTCATGTAGACATTATGCCATGGCCATGACTTTGTGGATCTGGCCAGATCAACATTTCGCTCCATGACATGATGTCTATTTACTTTTAAATGAAAAATCATAAATTTTGAGCTGTCGGACGATACCAGTACATGAGATTTAAGATGTGTCCTATTTGGGGCCGTTCCGGAATCGGGTCTGGGTACCGGATGTGGCCAGATCCTTGACCAGATCCACCAATTTGTTCGTGGCATGATGTATATTTGGTTCTGGTTCAAACTTCGGTTGAAACATCATAAATTTTGAGCCATCGGACGATACCAGTACATGAGGTTTTGGAAGTGTTCCATTTGTGCCCTATCGGTACCGGTGCCAGGTATCCTAAATGGCCAAATTGAAAAAATTAGTTCAAAAATGAATTTTGGGGAGCGAGTTGCATTCTAGTTTTATTTTTTACTTTTTTGTAGACCCACTCCTAGAGGTCGCTGGAAGCTTCCTTTGGCAGCAAAATGATCGTTTCCGAAAGTTAGGAAAAGGGAGGAAATTTAAGGTTACAAAGTTTCAGCTGCACTAGAAAGGTTAAAAAGGAATAAGTGGGGGCTGGATCGACATTAAAGAAGTTCTGTAACCCTCCACCGGTTTCATGTGACGTTCTTCATCTGACCAGCATCGACCTTACCATATTATTGCAACGTTTACAGTCAGTTTACAAGCTATTTTTTAAATTGGTTTTTTGTAGGTTCAAAAACGTAGGCGTAGACGAACTCAGCAACGAAGAAAAATCCCAGATTTTGAGGCGATTTTTAAGACACAGACAACGAAGAGGATGATGATAAAGTCAGAAACAGCATGCGGTATTTTACAGAATTGTACAGAATTACACGAAACTTTTGGGTTTTGGCTATGTAAACAGCAGAAATGTGAACATTCAACTTTAATGTACTCGAAATTCAACAGTTAAAATCATTGTAATTTTAGTTTTATTATAATTATTTTTCGGGCTTGACTCCCACAGTCGATGAATACATTTAATGCTGCAATTCAGATTATGTACTATATGTGACCCAAACAAATGCCCATGCAGATAGAGAACACCTTCCAGCATATCGCTCAGCGCATGGAGTTCAGCAGATGAATGTCAGCGCTGAACCCTTCGCCTGTCTACATCCATCTTCGTTTGACTTTTTTTTTCGTTCTGAAATGAAAATTTTATAAAGCAAAGCAGAAAACCAAAGCCCAAACGAGACTTACCTTGACTCCCACAGTCGATGAATACATCTAATGCTGCAGTTTCGATTATGTATGTGAAACAAATGCAGAATATCCCACAGCCACTTTCATAGTGCCTGGGCAGTTTGTGTCGACCTCGGAATTCCGTCCGCTGCAAGTATATTCCAATTAGAAGAACCGTACGGTCAGCTGGGACAGCTTCAATGTTTCTGACATGTTCAGAACGAAGGAATTTGAATGGAGTTGCATGCGGTCCAGTAGTTTTGCATTCCGCCTTCCAAGCGGTTCAGAAAGGTCAGTTTCCGATGAACGAACTACCAGAGAACTGGTTTTGATGAAGATTCTGACAGGTTCATAACACAGGCTTTGGAATGGAGTTCCATGCAGTCGAGTAATTTTGCTAGCACGTGGATTTTATCGGACGTGGGGGTGCTTACTAGGTGGATGGAGGTCAGCGCTGAACCCCGCCTGTGTACATCGGTTCCTTCCCTCCGTTTTCGCCTTTGACATTTATTTATTTATTTATTCGCCAATCAAAATCGTAGTACGTACGGCTGCGTAACGAATCGCTGATGTTTTTGTGGATGTAGATGCAGATGTATAATTTTAGAAAGATTGGCTGGATTGACTGCTCAAGACACCTAAAAAAACATAAAAAAAGTAAATTGTTTAATACTAGAATTGATGGATTTTTGCAGAAAATTACATTTCTTTTTTGAAAAATGCGCTTGCTGGTCGTATTTGACATGAATAATTTTTATTTTATTTTATTTTCATAAACAAGCATAGATATGATAGGTTATGATATTTCGAGGTGAAAAAGTCACCTTCTTTTTCGATGTCTATTGTTGATGTATCAACCTATTTAAGTCATCAAAGCTTAATTTTGTTCTTAATAAACCTAACTTTGTTCTTAATCAACCTAACTGCTGATCATCAAATTGAGCAGAAATATTTTGAGGTTATTTTAGCTTTGGTATGGTATAGATACAAATATTTTAAATTGGAGAATGTTTATTTTTAATTAATGTCCGCCTTCCTCCCTACTGTGCGATGGGGCCTTGGTCGTCTAGTGACAAAGAGGGGAGGTGGCCTATCCGAGCGTCCGAGATGCGAGGGGATTCTGTAATTATTAATTTATTAGGAAGATGATGATGTACAGAGATGTATTAAGAGCCGATTTTTTCACCTTAGCTTAAATCTTAACCCAGGTTTACCCATATTGTTAAACCTGGTTGAAACCAGGTTCATCGAAGGTGAAAAAAACGACACTAAGTAGACAAATAGTGCTGTGTTTAATTTATTGGTGGGTTCAACACTATTGCATTCAAAATAGACATTCCAATCCTACCGTAACTTAACTAATTAACTCTTACCAAATATAAGTTGCTCTGATGGTTTGAGTTTATCAGCATCGAGATCTGCATTCTGTTTGCTGGAAACGTCTCAACCGATCCGTTGATAATTTATGACGCCCGGCGGTCAACATCCACAGAAGCGTCGATTTTTTAACGTTTTTGATGTCACCTTTTGCATATTTAATTTTGAAAGTATGTTTATTGCCAGTCCGGCTACTTTTCAATTGAAGATCGTCGTTGAAATTTTTGAATATCTTTGCGGCGTCGTATACGAGTTCGTGCGATTGTGCTTGGTTCGACATATTATCATGATATTCAACATTCTCCGAATCTGATAATTCTTCACAGTGTAAATCGAACTTAGGCAGACTAGAACTATCTATCGAGTGTTCATCAGAGTCAGTGCTGTCTTCCGTCAAACCTACATCAATAAATTCGATATCAGGTACGTTGATCCCAAGACCAATTGAATCTTGGATTTCAATAGTTGATCTGCTTAATCCCAAGCTTACAAGAATTTCATAAGCTACAGTTTGTGCTTTTTCCACTGCTTCTATCATCTCTATATCCGATGGCAGTGTAGTTAATCCATTACAACGCCGTTGTAGTTTTTCCATGAATGGGAACTTTATGATATCTCGGTGTTTGTACATAATGTGCCTTTTCATAAAAATCCGCTTTAATTTCTCGGTTAGCTCTTTAATTGAGAAATTTACTACAGTTTGATTTGATGTCGCCATAGATCTAAGTTCTCTAAACAGTTGCTCACATGGTTGACTCGAAAAAGCTGATAATACAAACTGTTCTGGAACTTCGTTGTCACGACATTCTTTCACGAGTAAAATAATTGCATGAGCATTGAGCTCTAAGCATATGTACGCATTTGTAGTAATTGATTTTGTCAAATTTGTGTGGTTCCGCTTACACCAGTTCCTCCAAGCGCGAACGATGAAGTTTGTTGTCCTAAAAATATACATTATTTCAGTTGTTTTCTGCATTTGTATAAAATTTTAATCCGCACAACACACTTGCTCCACTTTAAGACTAAGTGCTCTGTATATAACCCTTCTTTAGATATTCCCTTGAGTGATCTTAACCTAATTACGGTATTTAAAAAAAGGCTGAATTTTCGCCCTCTGGTTCTTTTTAGACCCATAGTTTGTTATTGGTATAAAATGCATGCAGTTTTACTCAGATTCTCGATCTAATTGCACGAATGGAAAGATAAATGCTCCATTTTGCCAATTAACCACTTCATTCGAGCAGTTAAAATGACGTTTACTACCACTCGAACTTTGAAATAAAACATTATCATATTTTTTCTTTTAGAACCACGAGAAGTACACACAAGCAGTGCTATAAATTCTCAAAATCATTTGAACATTTTTGATGAAAATGAGAAAAGTAGCTATTCGCTATCAAAGGGAACCTTATCTGAATGGGTGATATCAGTTACTTAGGCTGTGAACCATTTGCCGAGTTAAATTTAACTCGTAGTTAAAAGTGACATTTCGAAAGTTATTTCTTATGTTCGAAAATCCCTGTGCTGTCGATCGACCGGTTTTCGAGCCACGGTTGTCAAAATTTAACTTCTTGTCTGTCAGAAATAACCATGCTCGGATAGCAGGGTTAATCGATAACTTTCCATCTGTCAAATTTTAACCAAAAGTTAAAATAATCCACCAAATGGTTCAGAGCCTTAGTCATTTGACAAAGACATGGATCATTCTCATTTGAGAAACGCTATATATCATTCAATTGAGTGTAACCTACACATAAACGGAGCTCTGGTTGACATTCCGGCGAAAAAGCTAAGCCAACCCGACACCAACCTGACTTCTACCAAACCTCAACCCGATGTTGACCCGACCTTGACCCGACATAAACCCAAATTTGACCTGACAACAGCACTACATTGGGTCGACATCGACCTTAAATTAGTCTTACATTGATCCGACATGGGATCGGCTTGTCCGTTCGGGGCCATTTTGCTGGATTTCTTCCATACTCCACTGTCGTATATCAAATGATAGTGAGTGACTCAATTGACAGTCAAAATGAGCTTCGAATGAGAAAGGGGCTGTTCAAACTATGGTCATGTGACAATTCGTTTACACAGAATTGATTGAATGGTTGCATTGGTTCATCTTCAATCTAACGATATGAAAATTTACAGCACTAGACACAAGTAGTCAACATTTGTGCGTTTCATAAAACAATAGAAATTGGTTGGTCCAGTTTTGCGAAATCGCTGGTAGAAAGTCTCGCCAAACCTGCTTGACAAAGTGGTCAATTCAGGGGTAAGGATGCCATTTGGTCATCATGGCCGAACGGAACCGCATACAATCCGGAGTTAGGTGAATGGAAATAGGCTTATCTGAGATGAAATAGCTATAAAAAATGTACACTAAAGTTAACCGTTGAACTAGACCAATATGAACATTATTTGGCCAAATAAGGGCAATAGACGTGGAGCCTCCCCATACAGTATGATTGTGCTTGCCACACAATAATACTAATTCAAAAATGGTACAGGCTAAGAATGCTCTCACCTAGCAACTGTCGTAGTGCATCTAGAACACTAAGGCTGTGAACCATTTGCCGAGTTAAATTTAACTCGTGGTTAAAAGTGACATTTCGAAAGTTATTTCTTATGTTCGAAAATCCCCTTACGGTCGTCAAAATTTAACTTCTTGTCTGTCAGAAATAACCATGCTCGGATAGCCGGGTTAATCGATAACTTTCCATCTGTCAAATTTTAACCAAAAGTTAAAAAATTCGCCGAATGGTTCAGAGCCTAAGTTGAGGCATAGAGGTAACTCTAAGACTAGTAGGTCCCGAAGAAACGTGCTCAACTTTTTGGTTCAGCTCTGGTACTATCTTCGGTCCCAAGCTAATCGATTCACCCCTCGAAACATAGGAAAATCCACTAACCCCTCATTTTATCTGTCAAATGAGCATAGCGAATCAAAACAAACATTGTGTAGTACTAGAAATTCGACTAGAATAGGGTACGTTAATCGTTTACTTGGGACCAATAGGCTAGTCAAGTAGTGAGCCAATTTAAAATCGTTAGTTTCGTATTGATTGTTGGTTGAGGGCCGTTGTTAAGTCCCAGCAGGGACGTAATAAAAGTCAAAAAAGAAGAATAGAATAGTAAAGGTTTAATTACAATTATTTCAAATCTCCAATAGTTTTCTACTACCGGAACATCCGTAAAAAATTCCATTTCATGAATCAGTCCACATCGTGCTCTCTTACCGTGCAGATCTATTTGCTTTTTGCTGAAAGAAGTGTTACTGCTACCTAAAGCTACAACCAATTTAAACAGCACTTTTCAGTGCACAATATACCTGTAAATTTTCTACCTTTTTTGACTCTTATTCCTCTTCGATCCTTGTTTGGACCTGCGGTAATCCTTCTTGGATATCGATTTGGAAAATTCCTCTTCGATCCTTCAGATTCTTATTGTAATCAGCTTGGAAGTCGATTTGGAAAAAAAAATACTGCCGCCATGGCGCCTAAGCGCAAAAGAAAAGGGCAATCTCTTGATCCCACTTCTGATGAAATTAATTTGATTTGCTCACGGATGATGAGAATGATCCATCTTCCAAGAAAAATTCTAGTAAACTTTCCCGGCTTAACGCCAAGAAGGAAAAGATTCCCTCTATTGTGATAACCACTTCCGATTTCCATGCTCTTCGCACGGAACTTTTGAACTTCGTGAAAGTTAAGTTTTCACTGCAAATTGGACGTCGGGGCGAATTCCGTGTTTTGGCTGAAACCTTGGACGGCTTTAAATGTCTTCTTAAGTATCTTACTGAGAAGAAGCACAAATTGTTTACTTACGACACCAAAACTGAACGTGTGTTCAAGGTTGTCATGAAAGGACTGCCCAGTGGTGAATCCCTGGATCAGATCAAAGATGAACTGGCAAAATTACTTGGAGTTGTGCCACTCCAAGTAATCAAAATGAAAATGAAATCCCGTCCTGGCGATTCCCGCAACGAGATTTCTAATGATTTTTATTTTGTTCACTTCAAGTCTAGTGAACTAAACAACATTAAGGCTTAGGAAAAAGCTAGCCTTATGCTCCATGTCCGAGTGAAGTGGGAACACTTCAGGAAGACTGGAGGAAGCTTCCAAAACCTCACCCAGTGCCGTAAGTATCAGGTAATGCATGAATTATGGTGATTCCTCTCACGCAAAGGACGATTGTCCTGTGAAGGAAGGCCCTAAGATATTTAAATGTTCAATTTTTGGGAATGTAAGACTTGCAACGCGATCCTACAATCTCGTTCTAACCGACAGGTAGGAAACGCTTCACGTTTCCGACCAGGTACAAATTCCTCTGCTGTTAACAACGGTCAGCAAGGAACGAATTTTACATTCGTTTACATGACCTTCAGAAACTTACCCGTCATAGGTCTAAATTCTCATTATTGGTGATTTTAATGCAAAACACCGCTCATGGAATAATGCTCAAAGCAATTCCAATGGTAATATTCTGTTTGATGATTGTTATGCAGATTATTACACTATTCGATATCTAAACAACCCAACATGCTTTTCTTCTGCATGAAATCCCTCAACTATTGATTTGGTCTTAACTGATTCATGTCGACTTTGTAGCCAATTGGTTACCCATGCTGACTTCGGTTCTGATCACCTTCCAGTAACTTTTGAAATATCCAAAGAAATAATTTGTAATCCCAACAGCTTTACTTTCAATTGGGTTCTTTAAGGGTATTGAGGTAAATGCATATTCGTAATCTGCATTAAACATGGAACCCAAACCCAAAATTTCATCAATTTTGGCACACTGGAACTATTTTAAAGAAGTACGATTACATTTGCAAAAATCACCTAATTAGCGCCCCTCGGTGTCACTTTGTATGGGAGCGAGCTGTCAGTTTGTCAGTTTAGTGTCAAACAGTGAAGTTATTATTTTCCATTAAATCATGATTTAAAAATCGAGATGAAAGTGCTTGGGGTTGAAAAAAATACCGCTGTGCTCAGAAAACAAAGCTCTTTCAGATGATATATAAAAACCGATATATTTTTCAAAATTAAAGAACCCAATTACCATAGAGCTGATTGGGAGCAATATCGAACATTTATGGAATATAGCTTCGATCCAAACATTCCTTTGCAAACCAAAGATGAGATTAATTATGCTCTTGAATCTCTGACTACTTCTATAGTTGAAGCAAGAGCTGCCTCAGTACCAAAATGCGAGGTTAAATTTGATTCAATTATAGTAAAATCCAACCAATTACCGGCCACCCGTGGCGCTGTTTTCGTAGCGGTGATAAAAATGTAAACATCTGTCAAACGTGACTCAAATCAGAATTTTCACTTTTTAAATTGAAAATTTGTCTTGTCTTGGTACGTTTTTGGTGGTCAAAAAGCTTGTAGAATTGTAGGAAAAGTGTCCTTCTTCAAAGTGACAAATGATTACAATGATATCATTGTTTGCAATCAGGAAAATAGTTGAATTTTTAGACTACGTAAACACAAGCTGTACCGCTTAACATTCTCATTGTTATTATTATTATTATCTCTATTTAGGAGATTTTCAGCCGCAGGCTGGTTCATCTCCGGGAGCCCCAGAAGAGGGCTTCCCTAATTACATAGTTGAGATTTTGGAGAACCCAGAAGGGGTTCTCCTAGAGGTTGGTGGAGCTAGTACTATTACTATTACTATTATTATTTACTATTTACTATTTACTATTTACTATTACTATTACTACTAGTACTATTTCCCTATTACTATTACTACTAGTACTATTTCCCGCCACTAGTGACGAATAAATTTCACTTGGATTCTACTATAATAGACGACGATCTTCTTGATCCGTCTAAAAAATGTCCGTAGGAGACAATATCAATCAACACGCAACCCTGCCGTGAAAGTTATCTGGCGGAATTTTTCAAAACAAATTAAAAAGCGATTCTCTGCCCTGAGAAACAAAACTTTTGAAAATATTGTTTCGAAATCAGTCGCGAGTTCCAAACCCTTTTGGTATCTCACAAGATTTTTGAAAAAAACCTCAAAAGCCTATTCCAGCGCTTAAAAAAGGTGGTAAAATTTCGAAAAAAGATCAGAAACTTGCTAAGCAATTCGAGAGTTCCCATATTTTCAGTTTGGGTCTAACTAGTCATATTGAGAATCATGTTGCTCGGGATTATATGAATATTTTCTCTCGAGAAAGTATTTTTTATGATTCATTGGACGAAGTAAGATCTATAACTAAAAAGTTTCATAACATGGAAGCTCCAGGTGATGATGGAATTTTCTATATCTTCATCAAAAAATTCCCAGAGAGTACCTCGTCTTTCTTGGTAAAATTATTCAACAGATGTTTCTATTTGGCATTCTTTCCTGATAAATGGAAGAAATGCAAAAGTTGTCCCAATTTTACAGCCGGATAAAAATCCAGCTGAAGCTTCTAACTACCGTCCACTAAGTTTGCTTTCTTCAATAAGCAACTTTTTTGAAAAGATAATTTTAAATAGAATGATGCTTCACATCAATGCGAACTCAATTTTTGCAGATGAGTAGTTTGGTAGTAGTAATAGTAGTAGTAGTGTTAAAATTTATAGAACTACGGATAAATCCGTAGACACACTGCAAAGACACGACGCTACTTGACTCCAAAATTGCGGTAGTATGAGAGCACATGAAAGGAACAATTGTGATTGTACCGTGGACCTCCGGCCGTTGTTTATCTTATACAGCAAAAAATTCTGAACTTTAATTGTGATGGAAACATTCATTCACGTAAACTTGTATGAATTTCACGCAAACGAGCTTGTAAGCAATGTTGTTTACAAAGATGGGCTTTTGCATATAATATTTGCAACATTTCATGAAATGTATCAGAACATGATTTATAATGTAATCTTATATGGTGTGTGACGCTCCATTTATGTGCATAATTTCGAACAGAAATTTCCACTACTTTTTCGAACTGTGTACTATTATTTACTCCATTTTACTTACCATATGTCCTGGACGCGTTCGAGAAGTGGTATATCCGGTTCAATGAATGATCTGTACATACGACGCATCAAGTCAAGAAAGAAGGCTGTTCCCTTACTATTCGGTATTTTTTCCTCGAGAAATTTAATCATAACCAGATTCATCAGCTTAATCGTTGGCTGGAACTTCATTTTATCTTTAAAAGATACATCCGATGTGCACAGCCCATGTTTATCTTTACTATGATTATTTATCAGGTCATATAAATGATCCGTAGTAATGATACAGTTCCCTAAATGAAAGTTTAATCATATAAAAGTAAATTAGGGACCATGCATAAATATTGCACTACACAGCAAAAAAATAATTTTGATATCACGTCAAAGTGGATGCACTACAATCATGTCGAAAATATGGTGTAATATTACTTGCTAAAAAGGACAAAATTATCATTAATACAATGCATGAACTGACATTACGCTGCTTTTACTGCATTTGTTTATTTATGTGGTCATAAAAATTACATGAAATTTTCGACATGATTGTAGTACATCCACTTTGATGTGATATCAAAATTATTTTTTTGCTGTGTACATGTGAAGAGGGCCTTGGTGCCAAATATTAAAAGTCCAGTTGAAAACCTAAATAATAAGAAGCGATAATTGATTTTACTCTTTGTAGGGGAAATGTATGTAATGTCGGCCTAATACCCTAATTTGGGCGCATACATAACTTCAGCAATCGACTAAATTTTCAATAGCAACCAAAAATATCCATTAAATAGTACCAATGACGCGTTTGACAATTTATAAATAGCAGATTTTTAGCGATGGGCCCAATCTTAGATCCATACGCCAACATTAGAGCCATTTCCCCTACGTTAAACATACACAGAGAAAAAAGTTGTTGAATATTACATCCATACAGCTGCACAGAGGTCATTTCGCTGGTTGTGTAATATGACGTTGTACGATGTATACCGATTTTGCGAACAAAACTAAACCCATTGATGTACACAGCGAAAAAAATGTAATATCGATCAACGCAATTCAACCTGATGTATGAAATAATGATGCAATAACAAAAAGCAGATACAATATTACATCAATGGACGCAATTTTGTTCGCAAAATCAATGTACATCGTACAACGTCATATTACACAACCAGCGAAATGACCTCTGTGCAGCTGTATGGATGTAATATTCAACAACTTTTTTCTCTGTGTATGTTTAACGTACATAGAGTAAAATCAATTATCGCTTCTTATTATTTAGGCTTTCAACTGTACCGATAATATAAACAAACAAAAAATGCAACGTAATTTAAGCTCTTATGTTTTAAATTTGAAGCTCTTACCTATTTCCATACTACTTTTCAGCAATCGATTCCTGAATTTGTTTATAGTATGTACCATGTCCTGTACGTTTATTGGAGTACTGTCTTCGTAGTTCACCCTAAACCACTGTCCCCATGGGGAAGGAATTGGTTGTGTTTCTAAACCGGCTCGATTTTTCATACTCTTAAGTAATCTCGAGTCGCCATCTGAGGCATGCGAGATTACTTTTATCCCCTCACACTGAAGAAGATGTTCAGTATGTGTCCAGCGGTTTAATACATCTTTATATTGAAATTGGTTGTTCGTGCAAGAATGATATAAGACATACGGTGCAGCGTCACTCGCAAGAGGTACTGCCAGTTGAACATACGCGTAGTTACCTAAAGGATACGAATTTACGTATTCTGCAATACGATATGGTGTACTTGCTGGAAACATATCTTTGATTGGAAATCCTTTGGAATCTAACGGTGCCACCAGTCCTCTGATGGCGTCTGTTCCGTAGTCGTACTCTGCGGCAGCTGTTATTCTCGTCCCATCTTCGCATAACGCGACAGCTAACGGATACCCATTCTGCATCAAGTAATTCTTTAAACCAGCGACATCAAGAACTCCTTCATTGATCTGACATGTCACCAGTTGCACATGCCTTTGGATTGTTTTCTTTGACATTATTTGTGCATTTGAGCTAATGTACTGGAAGTGAGCATTGCCAGCCATTAGGAATTCAAATGCACAAATATCCTTTTCCAAGTCAGTGTACCGTCTGCAATTTGTCTCCTTCACCCTGGCATTCATTTTAATCAAAATGTTCAACAACGTAGAGTCACTCATGGAATCCGTAACAACACTTGTAGAGTCAAAAACCATATCTATTTAAAAAATACATTATACGGTAATAGAAAAATACATATATATATAGAAAAATCAGCCACGGGATTTGTGATTTATCACTGTTCTTGTAGGTTACTTGAATCATTTCATTATACTCAATACTCGACAGCCTCAAATTAAATTCACATAAAGTAGCAACTGTATTGAGTGAAACATTTAAGAAGACTTCTTTCTTTGACTTAAAATAAAAAAAAAAACTGCACTATTAATGTTTGCACAAGTCACCGATCATGCACATCACTAAAAACCCTTTTTCCGTTGTTTTTCCTACTTTTGTATCACTTTCACTTTTCACTATTTCTTTTAAACATCTACAAAACAGATGCGTATGTATTTTCTTTACTACCTGCAGACTTTTTCAGTGTCTAATTGGGTCCTTTAATTTTGAAAAATATATCGGTTTTTATATATCATCTAAAAGAGCTTCGTTTTCTGAGCACAGCGATATTTTTTTCAACCCCACGCACTTTCATCTCAATTTTTAAATCATGATTTAAAGGAAAATAATAACTTCACTGTTTGACACTAAACTGACAAACTGACAGCTCGCTCCCATACAAAGAGACACCGAGGGGCTCTAATTAGGTGATTTTTGCAAATGTAATCGTACTTCTTTAAAATAGTTCCAGTGTGCCAAAATTGATGAAGTTTTGGGTTTGGGTTCCATGTTTTATGCAGATTACGAATATGCATTTACCTCAATACCCTTAAAGAACCCAATTATCAAAGGAAATACAACGGAAGAAGGTAGGTATACAATTAGGCATTGTTTTAAAACGCCCATCAACCAATTAAGAAAACGCTTTTGGCAAAATATAAAAAAGACAAAAACTACGTGTTACTAAAATCAAGATCTAACTGTACTATCAAAGGGATAGCTATTTTTATAATTATAGAATATTAATCCCATTAGAAATTTTAATCACAGTACCCATGAAGTTCACTTTTATAATGATTGCACAGTC